TCCCACCACCCATAGTGTTATATTGATCAAAACAAACGTTGTTTCCAACATTTGTGCCCTTAGTCAGTAGTGGGTGTTCAATCACATTCATCAGGGTTTCAGCATCAAGTAGGGGCTGTTCAATCACATTCATCAGGCTTTCAGCATCAATATTCACAGATTCAATCTGTTCCAAGTAAAGATCACTGACTTCTCCATTAAGGAAAAGTTTGCGAGGAAAGCATTTGAACTACATTTGAACTATTCGCTGATGGAAGGATCTGTGGACTCGGCTTTCATGTGTCTGAGAGAAAATGATTTAGTCAGAGGTTCCTCCTCTATAAAGTAACTGACAGATTTCAAAATGTCATGTCACTGTTGGTATAGTTCTTGCAGCCTTTTGAAAAAGTTCATGAAGTCCTCAAAGGTATGAGAGAGTTGGTACAGTTCCTATTTCTCATCCTCCTTTCTCCCATCAATAACCATCCCTGTCTGTTGTAATATTGATTGCTTTCCCCCCCTAAAATAGAACATAGTTACCATATAATTTCTGCACCAGCAATAATGTTTAGAGATGATATTCAAACAAATAGGAGGCATAGCAATATGAGCTTGTATAGTGAGAAATAAGGCATTAAAGCTGAGGAGTTCATTAAAATGTTTCAAAAACATTTCAATAAGTCAATCTCTTTGGTAGCAGAACTAAATATAAACAAAATGTACATTAAATTCAACTTATAACAGCACATCATATGGGGGCTTAAGACATCTAATTCCTTAGGTGGTAAAACATGTGTACATAAAAAGGTACCAGTAAAAACAAAACAAAATTAGTTTAAACACACGCACTTAGATATTCACGGTTTTCATTAATACAAAAGATGAAGCAGAACATCACTCTCCCCTGGTTGTTTCCATAAAGAAGAAATTAACCAGGAAACATGGAGATGTCCATTGCACTCCTTTATTTTGCTTACAATGTGCAAATGTGCCTACTATGTGCTAATAAGCTTTCCATGTTATGGTTTTGTTTTTTATGTGCTGTATGCAAATGTTCTAAATGTGCTTAAATTACCATGTGCTGATGTGCTTACCGTGTTCAATGTGCCTATTAAGTGCTTTCCAAGTGATAAACTCTTTTTCTGAGCTTACAGTATACTACATGTACATACATGTTTTTATTTTATTTTTCCATGTTGTAATATTTTGGTCTCTGTTATTATACTCATGTTTTGTCTTTGTAGCTTATGTTGTATGTTTTGCAAAATGGACGTAAAATATATATTTTTGTATCTTGTACGTGCTCAAGGATTTTATCTGTAGTTTTTGGGACTATATATAGAAAAACTTTACCCCAGTATGAGGAATTGTTTTACACATTTATCATAAAACAAGTTATGTTCAGATTTCAGACAGAAGATACTCTAAAATTGTACAACTCAGAAAAGGTTGAAAAATATTTATAGTTCATTTTTTTCTGCTTAGAAATATTTAATCTCTAAATTACAAATGATAACTGTTTTAACAGGTCTAGTTTCCGAATTGGAAACCAAACCCTGTCTGACCTATAAATGATCATTATATAAGGCCAATTAAAAGTTTAAAACAAATATTGAGTTTATGCTAACCCCACAGATACTGGACACACTAATAGTAATATGATGTGTATAAACTATGATATATTATACACACTATACTTATTGGTGTGTTCGACACCAGTGTGGTTAACCAGACTTATCTCAGATTTGTGTTCTACAATACCCTTAAGTTTTTATATGCACTGTTAAAGTCAGAACTCCTGCTCTATATTAGCGCAGTAAAGATATTTTTCAAATTAACAATAAAATGCCTAGCTAATACATACCTACCCTATTTTTTTCTGATAGTAGAAACACAAGTAATTTGTTTGGCCTAATGTTTCTGTCATTTCATAATATTTAGAACTACTATACTTGTTTAAGTTTCCAAAACATCAAGTAGTATAACAATTGAAACTTCAATGAAAGCCAACATCACAATGAATCTAATAATACAATGTTTATAACATGTTTTTTTTTAACTGAATGAGAAGAAATGTAAGGCCAAATATCCTCACAAACAACGCTTAAGTGAAATCAGTTTGCAACTAAGCAGTTCGAAAATTTTGCAACACGTCTGGAGAAAGACGTTCCTCGTGACGCTGTAATTCACTAGAGTAAAACGTCCGTTTATTATGTTTGTTTTTGCATAATAACTGCTATACATACCGTAGAAGCACCTTCCTTTTTGTCATCGCCGCTGACAACATGCGCCATTCTCTGCGGCTTCGGCCGCATGCTTGGCCACAAGTCACCGAAATCGGGATACATAGCCTTATTTATGAATCAGTAGTAGGTAAACGTTGCAGAAGTGTATGTATATTGTTCATTGTCAATGCTGCTTAAACAACATGCCTAACATTAAGTCAACACTCGCCTGCATTTTCGTCTTTTCCGCTTCGCGTTGCGAATGATGTCTAGGCCTACACAAAACGAAAGTAAAATGTGCGCATGTCTAAATGTAAGGGAGATCACTCGTGTTTTCCCGCAGTATATGTCTGAAATCATTCCGAAGGTGTTGTTGTTTTTGTGTATATTGAAATAAAAGAGTCCTGTTATATGGTAATACTTCAATAAACGAAAAACACAAATCACACCAACAGACATATAAAATGTAGGCCTATCGGAGCATATTTTCGTTTCTGGCTGAGCTGTAATTAGCGAGAAGGCGATATAAAAATGCAATAGCATATCTTATGATGAAAATAGAACAAAATGATAATACTGCGAAGGTAAAAAAAGCCTTCAGGTTAGAATACCAATATGGAACTAGAGAAGGACAGTGGCTAGTTCTAACATGATTCCCGGTCTCATCTGCCCCGGCCGGTTGATCCCATTTTAGTTAGGCAAGCCTGGTGTGAATCACACGGAGGCGATTTTAGAATTAATTGACAGGATCCGTATCCATTAATAGGTTTGTAATATGAACTTTTTATGTTGATCTCCTACATAATTGTAAGTTATACTCCGCCTTATATTTCGTTAAATTATCAAGTTTACGTAACAAGTGCAAGCGAAATCCTAATTGACTGCCATGTTGGAAACTTCCTCAATCTTTCCGATATAGGTCAGACGTCTAAATATGGGTGTCATGACCAAATATGGAAATTGTAGTAAACATGACCGCATCAGTAGTAATACTATATTTGGCCGTGAAGGCCATATAAGGAAACGGATAACATCACGCGTGATCTAACATGGCCGTCGTTTCTTTTTTTAGAGTTTTTAGTAAGGATTTGTTATTTTAACGATGAACGAATATGCAATATTTTGATAACATTATAATCATATGAAGCGTGAATCAGATATATTATTACTGATTAGCACTTTTGATTATCCTCAGTTAGTTGGAACAGGACCGCTTCATAGCTCTGACCACGCAATATATAATTGTAAACAGGGACGTAAATGTCACCAATTTTAGCCAATCACAGGACAATATTTCCGTGTAAAGGGTTAATCCAGCGACAGTTCCAAGAGTAAATACGAAGTTTTAGAAGGATACTTAGTTCTAACTAAGAATAAGATTATATCCAATGACGTTTGAGTGAACTTGAGTCCGTGGTAATGGATTTTATTTGCAGTTTGTTTAGTATTACTAGAAGGTGACGTTATGTCTCGTTTATGAATATCTGAGCTCATTAACTGAAGTATTTTTACCGGAAGTTGCGTGTAGCATGCATGACCTACATTCAAGTAGCAGTTCCCGATTGAGATAAACAGGGTGCATTTTCAATAAGAATACGACGTTGTGATAAGATCATATGTTCTATAAAGAAAAGTAATGATATTTACAAGCCATTCAAGTGCATTTGAGTCCAAAGTTACGCATAATAAAGACAGTAGGTCCGGTATATGATTCAATTTAGTACCAGTGACTACCGCTAGAGGCCGTCTGTGTGAAATCGACGTTTATGAATATCTGAGCTCATTAACTAAAGTAATACCAATAGCTGGCGGCTAACGCCTTAGCTAAAAATGGCCCCTTAAATATGAAAACATGGTTTGCTTTCACTCCATAAGAATACTTCAACCTTATAATAAACATTTGTTTACTGTCTGGAGAAAACTCGTCCAAAAAGTTTAAACTGAGTGAAAGAATTTAAGGATGGACAACCATACCATAAACAAATAGAGATTTGAACTGCCCATACTCTAATGATGGTGGGCTAATAAAATAAACATAATTTACATACATTCAAATAATCTTTTACAATACAATTTCCAACAAATTTCAAAACTACATGCCCACCTTCATCACTTATGGCAGCTCTTGTTGCATTTTTGAAAGTATCTATTTAAGAGTAATCACAGACCTGGCTGCCCACTGGTCACTCCACACTTACAGACCAATATCCACTGGTCAGCAGTTGGTGAAGGCACTAAATACAAGGTCAGCAACAGATTTATCTAGAAGATCAGCTGCAGTTCACTTATTACAAGCATGTAAAATCAATTAACACTGTTTTAGTCTATTTGTAAGTTGTACTGTGCAAGTTCACTATCATCAATAAGATACATGTAGCACAATCCTTGACAAGGTGCTATGAAGTGGATAGTTTGTGTGTTAAATTTTCCATATGCCTCATCAAACCATTCACAGTGTGGAAAGTTTATGGAAGTACATTTTACTGGTGCTTGTGTATTCCATATATATTTAAATAAATGCATTTGGTTATGTTTATTTATACACAAAATTAACAAATAGAAACTTCCACAAACCCCAACTGTCATATTGGTCATAGTTATTTTAGAGAGTATGATATATAAGGTACACTTTATATATTAAATCTAGTACTAGTAATATTGTTATGCATGTATTTATCAAATACATTTGTAATTCTTAATTTATTGAAGCATTATAATTTCAAAAAGTTTCATTAAATAAAAGGAATGTTATTGATATTTACTGCAAATAAATAAATTTTGACCTTAAACTCTATATTTTTTTACAGATCATTACATTTGTATAAAAGAAGTTCCAAAATAAATGTAAGAGTTATTTCCCTTAGATAGGGTCAAACATGGCCTCCTGTGACATGATATACCCAATATCTCTAACCTCTAAAAACTAATATAATAATTTCATAGACTTAATTATCTGCTTCAATTGTATAACAGATGACTCAGGGTTTGTGTTTCTTACATGATTTTTCAGATTTAAGAAAAATCCACTTGTGAAATTGTTCTGTGCTGCTATGGACTCGTATATCATCTTCTTCAGCTACTATTTGTGTAAAGAATTATTTAATAAGGGCTTTACCTGGAATCTACAGGTTGCAACCAACGTTTTGATATATAATATAGCATAATTCTATCAAATTTGGAGTGTTAATTGTTTTTTAAAACATACTCAATAATACCTATTTAGATGACTCTTAAATTGATTTTTTTTTTAGACTTGTATCATAAATCTCATATGAAATGAAAACTCATGTAAGATCCTATATATTGAAATTTATCTGCAGTTTAAATTAGGATGAGATTTTCAGACTAATTTCCTTCTTATGACAGTTGAACAGACAGACACACTGATAACAGTACACCCCAACTTCATTATGAGGGGTATAAAAGGTGTGTACATTTGAATCTTAAGATTATTGCAAAAGCCCAATAAATAGGATTCCTATAAAGGCATTATACTAAAGATGTATGAGAATTGAGCTCCACTAATGATCAAATAGGAATGTAATTTAATATTGACATCATACATCATTTTACATTCAGTATGTATGAATGTTTTACATGTACGAAATCATTTCAGTAAATGCAGCCAACTTTCAACTTTTCCTTCATTTGTTTTGATTGTAATTGAATGTACAAATTTTTGGACACATGACAAAGGGTGTCAAACTAATACATCATATATACCGATATATCTTTTACTATCATGAGTATTCTAGTACTGACTCAGAAACGAACAGAAGATTAAATCTAGTACTAAACCTATCTAATACAGAGACACACATACAGTTAACAGGTTTTTTCCCTTTGTGTTGCCGGTATCCATTTTCACAAAAACTTTCTACAGCTTACCACAACTTCATACATGTTCTTGGGAACTTGTTTTACGTAACTACAATGTTTATTGTCCAGACTGACAAAGATTTACAGCATAAACACAATCTCGATATTCCAGGGATTATGCTTACGTACATTCTCTGCACCCCTGGAATAATGTCATGACAAAAGTGAAGTCATGAAGTTAACGATTTCATTGGTTTCAGGCATAAAAAAACTGACCAATTGCTAGACTAATACCTGTCCTTTGAAGTTATTGCGATTACAAAGGAGCAACACCCCAACTAAAATCCAGTCAAATGTGTCATAACATGATGTATATTCCAGGGGTGAAAGAATGTAAGCATCTGTTGCAATTTCAATGATGTCACAAACGTACAATTGTACATCTACTTTGGACTAGATATGATTGATTAAATCTGTTTACAGGTAGCCTGTGTCCACATAGGACATATAGAACCGATAACCTGTATGTCTCCTTTAATTACTGTGAATCACGGCTTTGTGACATACCTAAAACTGATCAGGGGACCCTGCTGTAGTTCTGTGTTACTTTCTCTGCTGCCTTTTAATTACTGACCTTGATATGACTTTGATCTAACCACACTTGTGATTTTGCCTTTAATTTGTTATCTACAGCTGACCCTGACATGACTCCCTACTCGACCTTCAGGAAAATGTGTATGGAAAAAATTACCACATTTTTTATATCCACTCTGAGTAAAAAATTCTGAAATATTATTTTGCAATTTGTTGAAATACACAATATGACTTGGCAAGGGTGTCAGCTTGACCTTGTATTCGTGTTTCAGCCACTGGACTGGGTCATTATAAAACTGGTCAGCCTCATCAGTGTAATTCTTCTTCCGAGACAAGTTTGGTTCACATGTCAACATCCTCATACTTATGTTCTGGTGTAAATAGCTGAAATAGACAATAAACTATACAGAGACAACGGTTGTATTATATCTATACGGTAGACAACAGTTGTACAGTATATTTATACAGTATACCACATTTGTATATTACATTATATCTATACAGTAGACAACAGTTGGACATTATATTTATACAGTAGACCACATTTGTACATTACAGTATATCTATACAGTATACAACATTTGGACATTATATCTATACAGTAGACAACAGTTGTACATTACATTATATCTATACAGTAGACAACAGTTGTACATTTATACAGTAGACCACATTTGTACATTACAGTATATCTATACAGTATACAACATTTGGACATTATATCTATACAGTAGACAACAGTTGTACAGTATATCTATACAGTAGACAACAGTTGTACAGTATATATATACAGTAGACAACAGTTGTACAGTATATCTATACAATAGACATCAGTTGTACAGTATATCTATACAGAGACAACAGTTGTACAGTATATCCATACAGTATACAACAGTTGTACAGTATAGATATCTAGTAGACAACAGTTGTACAGTATATCTATCCAATAGACATCAGTTGTACAGTATATCTATACAGAGACAACAGTTGTAGAGTATATCTATACAATAGACATCAGTTCTACAGTATATCTATACAGAGACAACAGTTGTTCAGTATATCTATACAGTATACAACAGTTGTACAGTATAGATATCTAGTAGACAACAGTTGTACAATATATCTATACAGTAGACAACAGTTGTACATTATATCTTTACAGTAGACAACAGTTGTACAGTATATCTCTACAATAGACATCAGTTGTACAGTATATCTATACAGAGACAACAGTTGTTCAGTATATCTATACAGTATACAACAGTTGTACAGTATATTTATACAGAGACAACAGTTGTACAGTATATCTATACAGTATACAACAGTTGTACAGTATATTTATACAGTATACAACAGTTGTACAGTATATCTATACGGTAGAAAACAGTTGTAAAGTGTATCTATACAGTAGACAACAGTTGTACGGTATAGATATACAGTTGTGGGATCGCACAACGTTACACGATGTGCGGTGTGCGCACGATGTGTGCACGGTGTGTGAACGATGTGTGCACGATGTGCGAACGATACAAATGTGGGCGATCAAATCTTGCGCACATATGTGTGCGCGATGGACGAACGTTGTGCGATAACAATCGTGGTTGGTGTAAATTGAGGAATGCCTTAACAATATATACAATTTCGTGTTTAAATACATAAACCTTGATTTTTACGTATGTTTCTATACTCTATCTACACCTATAAACTTATCTTTATATCTATACTTTCTTAAATTTAGAAATTGTGTTTTTGGTATTTTTTAAACGACCTTAATCGACACCTGTGGAATCACAACACAGTCCCGTATACAGGTAAACATAGCCACTAGCCGTCTACAGGTACCTGGACGGTAGTTTTCCCCCGCCCGGGGCGCTTACGTATTTCGTCGGGTAGGGCCAGGGGTGTGAAAACACAGGTGAAGGGGAGCTATAGGCAAACCGAATGCAAATAACAAATACTAAACGTCCAGCTGTGTTTTCATTACGGTCATACGGTATCGCATATCAGCTCTATGTGTCAGGTATATACGTACAGGCCAGGTCAAACCCCGGTAACTCATCAAATTGTTAATTACATATTCTGTTACCTTGGCGCGAAACCCATTCTTGACAGTCTAACGGTCACTGTAATGCTGTGTTACACGCATTGTACAACTGTACATAATCTTCATTACTGTGATGAGATATTACAATAATACATTCAATTTTCATTATTGCATACAAGCTTTCCGTATATTTTTCATTCCGTAATATTGATCTACATATTGTACCCAATCGCACAGTTGTGCGGAGAGATGCGCACAACGGAGCGAACGATTGTTAAATCGCACAGTTGTGCGCACCATGTGTGGACGATGTGCGGACGGTGTGTGAACGATGTATGCACGGTGTGCGCACGCTATTTTTGGTGCGTTATGCGGTCACACAACTGTACAGTATACAACAGTTGTACAGTATAGATATCTAGTAGACAACAGTTGTACAATATAACTATACAGTAGACAACAGTTGTACATTATATCTATACAGTAGACAACAGTTGTACATTATATCTATACAGTAGACAACAGTTGTACAGTATATCTGTACAGTAGACAACATTTGTACAGTATATCTATACAGTAGACAACAGTTGTACTGTATATCTATACAATTGACAAGTTGTACATTACATTTATACAGTATACGTAGACAACAGTTGTACAGTATATCTGTACAGTAGACAACAGTTGTACAGTATATCTATACAGTAGGCAACATTTGTACAGTAAATCTATACAATTGACGAGTTGTACATTACATTTATACAGTATACGTAGACAACAGTTGTACAATATATCTGTACAGTAGACAACATTTGTACAGTATATCTATACAGTAGACAACAGTTGTACATTATATCTATACAGTGGACAACAGTTGTACAGTATATCTATAAAGTAGACAACAGTTGTACATTATATCTATACAGTAGATAACAGTTGTACATTATATCTATACAGTAGACAACAGTTGTACAGTATATCTATCAATGTTACAGATGATTCCACTTCACATTATATCATGGTTTTACCCCTAAGTGACCTGTTGTCCATCAGTTTGTCCAGGGTTTAACATTATCAGAGGTAGTTTTGCAATAATCTACCCAGAATTTATATTTCTTACACTCAATTCTACCACTAATTCTAAGCCAGGAGTCTTAGCCAGACTAAAATTTGACCTATTCAAATTGCAATTCACCATATCAGTAGGTAGTCTTAATAAGCTTTTAAAACTACAACTCTGTTGAAACATTTTAATTTGTCTGGGTAACTAATCCCTATCTATCCCTTGATACCTTGTAAAATTCACCACAATTAAAATTACTTAAAATTGTTGATCACACATATTGGTCTAGTGATATTTTATGTGATAATTACTCTTCAACTTGAAGCAGTACAAACTTTTTCAAACAAGACAAGTGTCTTGGTTTTAATTCCCTGGGGATGGTGGGAGATATACTTGTAGTGTATTTAACATCACTTACCTGTAGTAAGGTGTTGAGTGACAGGGAGTGAGAAAAAGGATGTCCATACTCTTGTCCAAACTCTGGTCATGTAAGTATTTCATGACCACAACTGTTCCTCTCTGGTGTATTAGTCCAAAATACAATGCTGTAGGAATATTAATGATGACAAGGATCACCACAAATATCTTAGCCTTCAATAAATTATATTTATGTTGTGTCTTTTGCACAGTCAGTGGATCTACCTCTTCTTTTGCTGCCTTGTCACCTTGCTGTGTTTTATATGTACTGTTACCTGGTAAGGTACTGGTGGCTCCATCTAGTGGTTTACTGGTGTCTGAGGTATCTTTGACAGTACCCTCTACAACTGTTTCTCTGCCTCCTGTTGTTGCTGTACTCTGACTATCACCCAGTCCCGTACTCGCTGTGCTGACAGTACTCTGATTATCACCCAGTCCCGTACTCACTGTGCTGGCTGTACTCTCCGTACTCACACTACTGACTAAGCTATCTGAGCTGCTATAGGGACTGCCAGCCTCTTCCTCCGTAATGGTACCATTATCCTTCCTCACCTTCTTTTTCTTCAAACGTGGTTTTCGACACAATGCTTGGAAATATACACCACAATAATGCATTGAAATTGGCAGAATCGGCATCAGGAATCGGAACTCTTTGTGTGCAATAAAACTGGAATGAAAAAGGAATGAAAATAGTTTAACAATGCTAATCACCAGGAATAAAAACTCTTTGTGTATACATGTATATACACAAGAATTCCACAGGAGTGGATGAGTCGCCTGCGCAGGCAAGTTTTGAGGTTGATCAGCCCAAGGAAACTCTAGTTATTGCACAGAAACAGACTTTCTACTTATAGTTACGTTGACCTTGACCTTTGACCTTTGGATCTGAAAAGCAATCCAAAGCAAGCACTATTGGTAAGACAGCACTGTATGACGTCTGAGCTAGATCGACCTAAAGAAATACAAGTTGTTGCACGGAAACAGATTTTCTATTTATAGTAATGATGACCTTGACCTTTGACCTTCATACCTGAAAAGCAATCCCAAGCAAGCACTTTTAGTATGAAGTTTAAGTTCAACCCAAGGAAACTCAAGGGATCACACGGAAACCTTGTTTCGGACGACGCTACCGACGCTGCCCTCGATAAAGTTATACCTATATCTTGCCTCGTCTTGGAGGCGACACAAAGTGGAATGTAGAAGGAACGAAAACAGATTAACCATGGTAATCAACTCAAAATGCATGGGCAGATAACATCATTTAACTTGATAATCTGTCACGTTACATGGAATATAACCAGTAGAAGCGATGTAGCACACATGCTTCTCCCAAGATCTTGTATTAATACTGTATTTAAAATACATGTCAGGTAATTATAATATTGTCTCCGATTCTCATTCATAAAGTCATGTGTTTATAATGATAAAATTCAATACACATGTAAATAAAAAAACACAGCAATAATTATTGGACTAGATTGATAGATTACAGTCTACAAATATCTATAAAGGTAGTGGAATAATTTCTCTATGCGTATTGATTACACCAAAAGCACCGGCTTATGGAGCATTATATACACCCTCAATCAATCCATGAAACTAATGCAAACTGGAAAGGGAAATACCGTTACATGTCTGGAAATCATAATTATACTGTAAATACATGTCTGGAAAGCATAATTATACTGAATACATGTCTGGAAATCATAATTATACTGTAAATACATGTCTTGAAATCATAATTATACTGCAGTGTTTAAAGGATTAGGCTATAAATAATTAACGACACTTTTAAATTTAATTTCATGGAATTTCTCCAAGTTTCACTTCAAAGTAAGATTATTAGAGACTTTCTGATGCATTTTAATAACAAAATACATCAACATAGTGAAATGTTCCCAAAAAATGTGTACTTTATTGCCCAGGAAAGTTACATAAGTTGAAATATGAAAATACACTTCACTTTAATGACTAAAAAGAACAGAACAAAGTGCAGTTGTTTATTGTTCACTGTTTTACATAACTTTTAAAAGGACTGCCTCCCTTTACTCATGTTTCAAATCACATTGAAGTGTTCAAATAAGAAAGATCCCCAAGTGTTGTAAAACTTATTCAGCATCTCCATTTTATAACATGCGCCAGTTCTATGATTCTTATCAAACAAACCAAATTGCAGTAGATTGGGTTGAAAGCAGGGACTAGTTATATATATAATTAAAGTCACAAGGCTCCAATGTTCTGATGGATTAACAAAGCTCAAAACTGCTGTGAAATAATTTAACACAGCATCCCTGTTTTATGAGTCCCAAAGATGCAACTGGATATGAATCTCACCACACTCTGTTCTCAAAAGATTCTGCCAAAATCTGTGTTACGAGTTGCAGTCACAAGGCAATGTAAACCAACAGATCTAGACTTACAGTTACAGCATAACATGCTCTACTTTTGTGTGGTGTATGAAAAGAGAAATATTAAGGGGGAGATACCCTAAGAAGACTAGCTATTATGCTTTCACAAAGTTCAAATAGATGACAATGTAGTGATACACATCTGCTGAAGGAAAAACGTATATGGTCACATGCAGACATGTCGATTCTAGTAAAATAATGTACCGTATTTGACCTCAAATAAGCCCACTCCCCTAGTGAAAAAATATTGATCAATTGTAGGGAGAAGGCTAAATTGTGAGTATCTCCTCTGTTTATTAATGTTGGATATACCACTGTTTTGATGTACGACCAAAGCACATATCATGTATCAATAATTGTTCATGTTGTAAAAAATAATATCCAACTGGCAGAATATTTAATGATGGCCTCCACAAGTTGATCACTTTGTTTGTGCTGATGTTTTTCTGAACCATTTTTTTATGATCAATTGGTTCGGATAATTAAGGTTTGACCTTCATTTTGACTGCATTATACGGTAGTATGAACGCAGTTGGCAACGAACATATTCTATGGAGCGCATTAGCGCTCCATAAAGAATATATTTGTTGCCAACTGCGTTCATACTACTATATACGCAGTCAAACTGAAGATCAATTCTTATATTTACATATTTTCGTACTATGATGGTACACTCAGAATAAAGCTAACTCCAATACATTTGCTTTTATATTGGTACAAAGCCTCCGTAACGTGCGTAAATCCAAACAAATGAACAGCCTACAGCCTACGAGCAGCGATGGATCTCCAACGTTACCATTATGACGTCACAATGTAAATTACGTCATCAATAGGAAACAATGGTCTCCAAGGAATCTCACTGCGTATACGGTAATGTATACGCATTCACGGTTTACACAGCTTCAATGGGAGGGAATGTAAATATTTCCTTTTATTTAACACAATTTTGTATAATTTCTTATTGATAAGCCAATCATTTTACTCTGTTAAAAGCAATGCTAACATCAGGTATAGAAATTCAGTAATAATAATAATAAATAATATATACAACATTTGATATACACGTAGTGCCCTATCTAGCTAACATAAGCCACTTTAAAGCTCTTTACAGTACATACTGTAAAATCATAAATTTTCATGGGACATTAAATTTCTTTTAATTTCGTGGATAACAAAAATCCACGAAATTCAATTCCCACAAAACGATATATTTGGTATGATATAGATAGGGGAAAATCGGAAATCATTGAAACAGGCGAGTATATAAAAACAACGAAATTTTAACCCCCCCGAAAATAAATGATCCTACAGTAATACAATAAGCATATACATTGATCAATACAATTTTGAGGAATTTGTAGGAGCTGCATTATCAGACGCTAACTAGTAGTCCTTTGCCACCTGGCTTATATCTCCCTATGTGTGAATGCCTGCACGTGTGCTGGAACTGTGATGTGTTATGTTTGTAGTGGGACTGTGCTTCCAACGGCATCATCTATAGTGCCACCTCACTTGAATGCTACAGCACAGATACCGCAACATCCTCCCCAGACCAATTTATACTCCACCTGGGTTGTTGGAGTGGTGTGGGCAGGAGAAAAACACTTCTCTGCACATCCATGCATACGACGACTTCAAAATCCAACCCCGGCCGCCTGTGTGGATGGCCAGAGTGTTTAAAACCACTCGACCAATCTGCCCATAAGCATGTCAATCAGACTATCAGATGTTTGGCTAGCAACATTACAAATTCAGTGTAATAGCTAGTCCAATAGCCTAAGAAATTTGAGTATACAAGGCTTAACACAGTTAACACAAAACTGTTGTATATACCAGTTTATCCTTACATCTATATGTTTCCTGAGTTTTAACAAATTTACTGAAGGTTTTGGTAGTGTTCACAATAAGAGCTATTTCAGTTACCTGTATGCAAATATAGTCCAGATGATAAGAAACAGCAGCACTTTATTTTTGGCCTTGTAAGCTCCCACGATGAAGGGAAGGAGATGTGTAGACATGATGACTGGGTAACCCTGAGTGAGATACCAGTGCCATGGGTGGGTCCCATAGATAGATCCACCCCCATGTAGCACATTGAACTCCAGGAAGTTGTAGTGAACCACAATCCAGTCTCCATGGTAGGCACAGTCCAGGAATGTTGAGCCCAGGAAACACACAGACCTATTAACATACGGTGAATGTTTTTAGAGGATAACACAAATTCTAAATAACGTTAATATTTTGTTTGTATTACTCTCTACAAGCTATGTTTTCTAGTATTTTTATAGTGCCTTCACCATGTGATACAATAATGTATTAAGTACCATGTATAGTTATATATACAACCTTCGATATAACGGCCCTCATTTAATTTGTCATCTCAGTTTGGTCTAAATCGACTAGCTGCAACTATAGCAACTTTCAGAGAAGATGTGAGATTTGAAGATTTTCCACTAATGCACTAATTAAAATAATATAGCATTACTCAGCCCGAGGGGGTTGGGGGTGGGAAGGGGGT